TACATCTATTGCGTGTCAAAATGTATATTTAATGATATAAGCAACTGTAACCTACCAATTTTTCCCACGCGGATCGACAAAGTATAATTAATTAATTTATTATTCGTTGTTTATTTACTGCAATAGCTGTCATCGCATCTCACCTGCATGCCGACCAGTCTGACCAAGGTTGGAACTCACAGTCCACCGCCTGGTCAATCTGACACTTCTGGAACTCAACCACGTCCGGGCAGGCCGTGCCTTCACACTCGGGCTCGGTGAAGATCTCACGTGTGCGGTTACTGAGGTGGAAATATTCGGAACAGTCTCAAGAAACAAAACAACACTTTTTTTGTTGCTTTTTTATGTAGATGTTTTTTTTACCCCACCCCCCTCCACACACACACACATACTTCCCAATCGACACAATTTGAATAATTTAAGAGGGCGGGTTTCCAACCCTGTCTGTCAGGGCGAATCCGGATTGAGAGGGATAGAGATACAACATCCCAGCAGAAGCAGAAACAGCGAGTTACTCAATGACAATTTCTCCCCACTTGGGAATCGGACTCGGATCTCCTTTGTGCAACAACGAAGCGCCATAACTGCTTCACCACAGACGCTGTTCATGTAACAGAATCCACACAAAAAATGAAACAATACCCCCCCTCCAAAGGCAAAAGCACAGTTGTAACGAAAAAAAGGAGCGAAGGAGTTGATCAAGAAGGCTCAAATAACGAAGCTTATGTCAGGAAATGGTTTAGAAAAAATATGAGCTTATGACTGGCAGTATAAGAATGGAGACACTGGGTGTGCGTACTACGTCAAGTGAGTTCCGAATGGAGGCCACATGAAGACCTTTAACTAAAACGTCTATGCCGTCAATATCGTCGTGTTTTTTTTTCGAGTTTGGAAGCGCAAGAGTCGTCCTGTATCATGGGGCTGTAGTTTCTGTTTTCACAGATCGATAAGAAAAGTACACTCTACAGATAATGTCACACGTTGTTGTAAAGATGAAGTGGATAAGAACGTGTATAATGGTTGTTTAATTTTATAATTGTCTTAAGTGATGATCACACTGTTGGTTGGCTGGTTGGTTGGTTGGTTGGTTTGTTGTTGTTGTTGTTGTTGCTGTTGTTGTTGTTGTTGTTGTTGTTGTTGTTGTTGTTGTTGTTGTTGTTGTTGTTAATCCTGGGAATTGTTCTGAAAAAAAAGCATAGAAACGTAAGGGACACCTTGAACAAAGAAGTAGTGCTGTCCTTATACTGAGACCACGGTAACTGAGACAGAATAGGAGTTCAGTCGAAATTGTACAAAAACAGCCATTATTTGTTGAAGAAAAAAATGTGTTGCCATAGACAGGTAGACGTCTTGGGCAGTGTCAATATGATATTTTAAAAAGCAAGGTGAGACTAGGGAAGTTGTCGTTTGCACAGATGATTTCTTGCACAGGTAGTCGTTAGAGCAGGTTAGAGCTGTTCTCACACAAAACGGCAGGCAAAGATTTGATTATCCAGGAACAGCTTCTGTTACCTTAACCCTGTCCCGCAAGTGGTTGAACAATGTCCAAAGCCAGTCCAGTCTCCAACTTCGCAGTCTTTTCTACAGCATGGCCCATAGCAGACGGCAGTTTCTGATGGGGTGAGAACAAAATAGAATGCTGAATCAGCAACATTACCATTAGCAACAATATCATAACAGCATCATCATCATCATCACCGGAAGAAGAAGAAGAAGAAGAAGAAGAAGAAGAAGAAGAAGAAGAAGAAGAAGAAGAAGAAGAAGAAGAAGAAGAAGAAGAAGAAGAAGAAGAACAACAACAACAACAACAACAACAACAACAACAACAACAACAACAACAACAACAACAACAACAACAACAACAACAACAACAACAACAACAATATCATCATCAACAACAACAACAACAACAACAACAACAACCCACGATTCAGTGGATCCCTGGTCACCGCGATATCCTCGGCAACGATCTCGCTGACAGTAATGCCAAACTGGCAACAGCGCTGCCGGGTCCAGGCCGCCAAATTACTTATGAAAGTGCGTGCGCCCAGATAAAACTAATTACAAAAGACCCCCCTATATGCCACACGCGGACGAAGGAAGTATACAGGGCATTTTCCTTAAAAAGAGAGGCTCTTATTATGTCCCGCAGTGACCAGTCATTACTGGCAAAAATCAGGACCGGTCACTTCTCTGGGCTGCGGGCCTACAAAAATAGAGTAGACAAAACATCGGACCCAATCTGTCCATTGTGCAACGAGGAGCCCCAAGATTTGGAGCACTGGCTGGAGAGATGCCCCGCCACGGAGGCCCGGCGGTGGCATCTCTTCGGGGAGGATTCAGGGAGGTTGGACTGCCTCACCCGCTACCCAAGGGAGGCGGTGGCCCTGGCGAAGAGCACGCTTTTCGGGGCTTCGAACATTTCGAACGGATAGGCTACCACACACACACACAACAACAACAAGACAGCACTAGCAACAGAAGCATAGCAGTCAAAGTAGGCTAACAACAGAGTATCATCATTAGCGTAATTTACAGGACTCTCAGCAATGCTTCCACATTCTTCATAATCAAGATTGCAGTGGCTTAAATCATGGCCAATCAACTACCCACGCAAAGATTAGTCAACAAGTGTATCTTTCCAGGTGCAAATAAACAGGTACTTCCGGCGTCATTAAGACAAAAGGGAGAATAGAAGAGGAAAAATGTGAGGCAGCGTGGTGAAATCAGGCGCTCGTCAAACTAATGAAAGTCAAAGAAATTGGCATTTTCCCGCAGGTTTGGGAATTTTTATCGAATTCTTTTTTTTTGGGGGGGGGGATGAAAAACGTTGATTAAGGCAGAAGAAATGTAAATTTTCCGTTTCCACAGACTCTCAAGCGAAAGAAATAACTCAATTTTGGCTGCCATTTTCTCGCTAATTTTACCCCTGAAACCAGATGACTCTCACCTCCTTCAGTAACACATATCTCGACTTCTATTCAAGTAGATGGATATTATTTTCACCCAAAACAAGGAAATTGGACAGGCCTTAAGATAATACCATCAACTCCGTATGCCCAAAAATTGACGAGAGCCTGATTCCACCCCGTCGTGCCACAAATAGTTGAGAGATAAAAGGAGGACACTGGAGGGGAGGGAGTCAGTAAGAGGGAAACGAAAACAGAAGAAAAGATAGAAAGAAGGGAACATAGACAGACAGACAGACGGACAGACAGGAAAAGACAAAGAGATCAGACAGACAGACAGACAGATAATCAGACTGACAGAAACAAACAAAAACAAGCGAACAAACAAATAAACAAACAAACAAACATACAAACAATAAACAAACAAACATATTAATACATACATACAAACAAACAAACAAACAAACAAATAAACAAACAAACATATTAATACATACATACATACATACATACATACATACAAACAAACAAACATACAAACAAATAAACAAACAAGAATTACGTGGCGTCCACAGTACCTGTCAGATTCTGGCAAGGGGCTCCCTTACACTTTTGATCGATCAGGACCACCCTTTCTCTC